CAATTATCAAAATATTGTTTTATAAATTTCTTGTTCTTTGAAGTTAAACAAATTTACATAGTCATTGTATGTATTGAAGATATTTGCTTGTTCATTTTATCGTTACTCGCGATCTCCACCGAAATCTTCCTCTGATTTCTTTAATGTTATGCACTCAGAAGAGAATGAGAGAAAATAACGAAAATAATACATTAGTATATTACAATGCATTTGTGTTTAATGTGCTTTTAGTTATTTGGCACGTTACGTTTGAAATATCAAAAAGATCACGTATGTATATATATAGTACTATACAAAGTACATACCTTTGGCATAAATGTGTAATTCGATAACTTTAGAGTTAATTAAATTTAATAATCATATAGATGTTATTACGTATAACCATTGAAATAAACCAATTTAAATTGCACCGATATTATTTCGAGAGATTATGATTATAATTTATAACACACTGGCGTAATATTCGCCGTAGTCCATAGGTAAGTTATTGTTAAACTGATTGTCTCGCACTACGATTGACCCATACAGGTACACAATAATAAAACGTTATTACCGTCTAATTAGGATATTTAATTTCTAATTAAATTTGTGTGTTACCCGTCGTTACTTAAAATTTTGAAGATCTAATATTAAAAATTATAATATACCATGCATTGTAAACAGTTTCACTGCAACGCAACGGATCAGTCTGTTTTAATAATAATAATAATATAACACTCGTTTTACGTGCTTGGAAGATGGAATAACGATGGGAACCGCACGCAATACAACTGTACAGACAGGTAGTCGTGATATTTTATTGATCGTATTGTTTTTCTATAATCGAAGATGTTTATGGGCTCGAAAATATGTATTACAAAAAAATAATAACAAACGTCTATACGATCGTTCAAATAGAAATCTGTTGTCGTAAGACAATGCGCTAAGAGTTATTTTTGCATTCTCCGTGCAATTCTAATTACTTATACACGGCGGCGGCGTCATATGTGTGTATATATGTAAATTCCTTTTCTATTGTGACGGTTGCGTTTTCTCTCATTTCACATGCATCTTCTAACAATATTATCTACTTGTGTTTTTTATGTTGATTCTTAAAAAAAAAAAAATAATAATAACAAACTGAAAATATATTATTTATTGCATTCAACCGCTATTTATATTCAAGCGACGCATTTAGATGCTTTTCGTCGATATAATAATTTATATAAGTCCTCTCGAGCAATGTGTACACTGACCCGACTTGTACGTATAAATTTCGATAGGAGGCGATCGCGAGTATGCAATACTTTAAAATTCGATGTATGATTAGAATAATAAATAATAATATTATGACACTGTTATGCAATAACATTATCGTTACTTATCTCCTTCTTCCACTATGAGAAACTATGACCGAATGAGATTGGTTTTCATGTATTATATTATATATTATAAGCATACAATATAGATGCACAATATATGAGTACGAATGTTTGATTTAAAGTGACCCCGCACCCACACATTTGAATTATTATTAATGTTATTTGAATTATAATATGGTTTAAATTTTGCATAATATTGATAATAATAATATAAGGATGGTTTTCGTGGCGGTTGCCGTAATACTTAAATATATATGACGCTAGTCTTTCAAAAAAAAAAAAAAATCAGAATATAGATACCTCTAATTATTTATTTATATATACAAGGTAACTTTTTTTAAGTATGCTCTCCCCATTTTGCTTTATCAATGCATTCATTTAGATTTTGATTTTTGGAATTTTTAATTAGGTATATTTGAGGAACATAATATTTTCGGTTATTTAGATTTGTCTATACTTACCATGTAGGGATTATGCCATAGCGAACCAAATTAATTTTTCCAAATCTTCATCTTTAGAAAATAAAGTGGATAATTTTATTTTGTAAATTTTGAGGTAAGAATCAGTTATATGTTTTATTGCATAATATTTAGAATTAAAATATTATTTTTTTAAAAAGAATCTAAAAAAATATAAAATATATGTAATATTGATTCTAGTATTTATTGGACGTGATACTTTTTATGAATTATCAAATATTGTTAAATTAATATTAATTACAATGGTTTTCAAATTATCAAAGCTCCCATATCTTTCATATACCACCTATGCTTAGTATGAACACAAAATTAAACAACTCAAAAAAACTTCGTTCAAATTTCGATTTAGATACATAGGCATACTTTTAAGAAAATAATAATCTGCTAAACAATTTACGAGAAAAGATAACTGATTTTTATTTCAAAAAAAGAGATTGATATCATTAATTGCTAAAGGAGACAGGACACTCTTCTAATGAAAAAATAAATCTATATCTTTGAACATTTGTCTTTAAGACTTAAAGCATACTGAAAAATTTTAAAAATCTAAATTTAAATTAATTAAGTATTAAAGGAAAAAAGTTTATACAAACACTAGGTACCTATATTATAATAAAGTCATTGGTCGTTAATCACGACGTATTTATATATTTATATTGTTATTGTCATTGCAATCAAATTGCATCCATTTGTCAGCACACGCACACTATTTATTTTTTATTTATTATTTTTGAACCCTTATTTCTTATTGAATTACTCGTTATTATTTTTGTTCCATATTATTGTAACATGCACGATTTTATAAAGATATTACCGTTATCGTATTTATCGAACATATTAAATTTACTCATGTCCATGTTGTAATAATATGAAATAAATGAACTATTTCAATTCTGACTTGAAAAAGATTAAACATCATAATTTCGCACAACATGTTACAAAATTTACATTTTTTTTTTTTACTTTGATAAAAATATGTAAAATCGTACTTCAACATATTGCACTCTTTTATGATATAACATATGTCGTTTTTTTTAGCGATGAAATCAATCAAAGTACAGCGTGTATATTTTACATGCATACCCGTTATGTACACTGAAGATTAATGATTAATGTGAGGTAAATTAATGTTACCTCTTACATGATATAATATTATAATAATGTTGTAACATTTTATTGTCATTTAAAAAAGATACTATCCATTATTGTCAAAATGTAAACAATTTTGCCCAATAATTATTATTTCCACTTTTTTTTTCTCGACGTCAACGAACAATCGATGTTTAGTTAACTCTCGGGGCCGTTTACGTGATTTGGGTTGCTAAATGCAGTACGTACAACTGTAAGCGAACGTCAATATGCCCCATCACGGTGGAGCATTATTATTGTGCAATGAATTGGAAATCCAGTTATTATTATTTGACTAAAATTTCATGTTGTGATCAAATTGTTCTTTTTTTTTTTAAATTTTATTTACGTTTTATTCTATTATTACAGAAATCGATTTTTTTTTTTTTAACTTTAGTTTGTTCGACAAACCGTTTAGTTTTCAATGTTTTAATCGTTTTATTGAACAATAGTATTTAAGTAACGATTAGTAGTCAAAAATATAGCAAGCTATTGTAAGCCGGCTTGCGCAAAGTATAAATGCAAATGAATAAAAATAAGTGTATGCTCGTGATTCTGAAATCTAAAATTAAATTTTTCAAAACAATTTCTAATAAATATATTTTTAATTAGTCCTTTTCATTTAGACGTGGTAAATCTAATTTTAGTGTTTGATCCCGAACAAGTGTTTTGTATTTAGAAGTCCATAAATCAATAATAATAATAAAAAATGCATACATAAATATAACGGTATCGTACGAGGTAGTTCTACAAAGTTCGGTGGCATCAGTTAAACATATATGGCTTGTTTATTTATCGTGTAAATAATTTAGAAATCACAATAATGAGTGCATAATATGGATAATATGGATACTATTTAAGGCGATTCTACGAATTGGTATTTCAAAACAAATTGTTGGCCAATTACTTATTCCGTAATAATTCGTACAAAAAGAAAATCGCTTAGAGCTAATTTAAAATATTTTTATGGACATCGCAGAAAATAAAAATACAATATACCTAACTTGAAAATAATAATATATAATTATTATTTTCAATAATCGTGTGTATATTTTAATTTCGTTAACTATTTACGTATTTGACGTGTCTGACGTAAAAATAAATTTAAATAATCAACACCATATACTGTTCTTTTATGATTTTGGTTTTTTTATTTTTTTTTTAAAATAATTTAACCAATTATTGGTCTTTTGTAACAAACTTACAAAACACATCTGCCGTTATAATCAAGAAAGGTTCGCTCGGTGTTAACTCACACTCACATTTCATTTTAATAAAAACTAGAGTTTTCACCGTTATGAGAAGACACCTCATGGGATTTGAATTGTCTAGCGAATTCTCAGCATATTATAATATACATAAACATTACACATATGTATTTTTTCAATGTTTACTTTTCTTTCAAACGGTTTCGTCGTTTATGCAAACCTATTGTTTTCACAATGATTCAAATTTCAGTTTCACTCGTAATTGTGTATCATAAATTATAGCACATAATATATTTATAGCTATTAAGACACCACACTCAATTTGTAGTCACCATACCTACCTATTACATGAAATCATTTTTGTCTGTTCAACAAAATAGTAAAACTTAACTAAAACGAAATTACCAATGAAAGTTTGACTCTACCGTTATCATACTTGCATTTATACACATTATATTTTATGGTTTTTTTCATACTAGAATTCGTTTTAAACGAATGGGAAAGTTTGAATGAATTGTACAACACATCATTACTAAGCACTACACTTGATTATGACCGGTAATCGGTATGCTGTTCTTCATCTGTTGAAACAATGTATTTCTAATGTTGTGTGTCATTGTTAGCAGTACTTAAATCTTAACATCACTGTAAATAGTTTTTAACCCGAATTATTGCCTAATGAGCAAAAAAGAAAGTCTTATAAATGCAATTTCTGTATATCTAATTTAATTATTTTTTTATTATTGTTTAACAAATTATGTTAAAAAGATAGGTAAATATCGTTTTCGTAGTTTTGACTTAATATTTGAACGTTTTTGTTTCAGAAGTGTTTTGTGTGTCTATTGTTGATAGCCACTACGAATGCCGTGATAAATTCTGGCGCTAGTGATGAGAAGTCGCCGACCAGAAGAGATGCAAGTCTTGGCGTACCATCAGATTCTTACGGTGCACCCCCTCCTTCATTTGGCGCTAATCAAGCTAATTACGGACCACCGCAGGCTTATGTTTCATCTGATTTAAAAGCACCTAACATTAATTATGGACCTCCGTCAAACTCCTATGGTCCACCAAAATCAACATACGGACTTCCAAAACCTAGTTTTAAACCTTTAAAACCGGACTATGGACCACCTCTACAAGATTCATATGGGTTGCCACCAAAACCAGTATATGGTGCTCCACAAACACCGAACTCCGTGTATGGTTTACCATCTGGACCTCCAAGTTCTTCTTATGGTGTTCCATCAGTTTCTTATGCAAAAGGGCCTCCGGGTGTACCATCTCCGCCAACCCCACCACATATCTCTTATCACGGTTGGCAACCAATTCCGGGTGTATCAATACCGTATGTTCAGAAAAATAATGGTTACGAACAATCGTCCTTAGGAACTGCGTATGGTCCACCACTACCTCAAGAAGGAGGTTGTTGCAATAATAATATTAATTCTATAGATACTTCTTACGGAGGTTTACCTCCTCCAATATTACCAGCATCAAATTTGGACTATGGTCCACCAAAAGATGAGAATTCTTATCATGGAAGCTCTCACGCTCAGTCATTGACAAGTTTATATAAGCCACCACCAATCATTCCAGATACCAGTTATGGCCCTCCAACACCTTCTAAGCAGCCTTCTGACTCATATGGGCCTCCACCCAGTGGTTCTTATGGTCCACCTCCTAAAGAACCACACGGATCCCCACCAAGTGGATCATACGGACCCCCTCCAAAAGATTCGTATGGACCACCTCCAAAAGATTCATATGGGCCACCACCGAGCGGATCATACGGACCTCCTCCAAAAGAACCACACGGATCCCCACCAAGTGGATCATACGGACCCCCTCCAAAAGATTCGTATGGACCACCTCCAAAAGATTCATATGGACCACCACCAAGCGGATCATATGGACCCCCTCCAAAAGATTCATATGGACCACCACCTAGTGGATCATACGGACCTCCGCCAAAAGATTCGTATGGACCACCTCCAAAAGATTCATATGGGCCACCACCGAGCGGATCATACGGACCCCCTCCAAAAGAATCACATGGACCACCACCAAGTGGATCATACGGACCTCCGCCAAAAGATTCGTATGGACCACCTCCAAAAGATTCATATGGACCACCACCAAGCGGATCATATGGACCACCACCTAGTGGTTCATATGGCCCACCATCTAAAGAATCACACGGATCACCACCTAGTGGATCATATGGACCTCCTCCAAAAGATTCGTATGGACCACCTCCAAAAGATTCATATGGGCCACCACCAAGTGGATCATATGGACCACCACCGAGTGGATCATACGGACCTCCTCCAAAAGATTCGTATGGACCACCTCCAAAAGATTCATATGGGCCACCACCAAGTGGATCATATGGACCACCACCAACTGGATCGTATGGACCACCACCTAAAAGTACGTATGGACCACCACCTAGTGGATCATACGGACCACCTCCAACTGGATCGTATGGACCACCTCCGAAAAATTCGTATGGACCACCCCCAAGTGGATCTTATGGATCTCCTTCTAAACCTTCATATCACCCACCTCAAAAAGAATCACATGGACCACCACCGAGTGGATCATACGGGCCACCTCCAATTGGATCATATGGACCACCTCCTAAAAGTTCATATAGACCTAAACCAAGTGGATCTTATGGACCACCTCCAACAGATTCATATGGACCACCTCCAAAAGATTCATATGGACCACCCAAAGAATCATACGGTCAACCATCAACTGGATCATTTGGACCACCTAAAGAGTCTTATGGATTACCATCTAAGCCTGCATATAATTCTCCACCGCCAAAAGATTCATATGGAATTCCTTCTCTAGGTTTTATTGATAATTCATTGCAAATACAATATGGTTCACCATCAACGTCTTCATATAATGGTCTTCCTCCAGAAGGTACTTTCGGTACACCGATAGCTATCTGTTGTGGTACACCTCCACCAGATTTAGCATTACAAAAGCCTACAGACTCTCAATATGGATTAACCTATGGACAAGCATCTGGAAGACAAATACCTGGGCCAAATCTTCAACCAAAAAATCCAGTAAAAAATAGGGCTCCTGTGCCACAGGGTCTCGTAGAATCAACACAATATAATAGTTTCCAAGGTGAACCATACATACCTCCTCCAGTTCCAGAAGTACCAACAGCTGTAAATGATGCATATGCTGCTCAATCAAGTTCTACAGGTTATAGTAATTCTAACAGTAATCCAAATTTAGAGCAAAGTCAAATAGTTTCTCAAGATCAACAACAGTATAAAATCCCAGCTACACAAGATGTATCAAATAATGGCTTATACAATCAAGGATCATCTACATCATACGCTTTACCGGCTCCTGAATCTTATCAACATATAACACAAACAGTTTCTTTAAATAATGCAATTCAAGAACCTAACAGTTATGTTCAGCCAAATCAACTTTCATTATCAAATGTTGAAAACTATGGTTCTCCACAACAAGCATTTGACTTAAATCAACAAATTGAAGAAAATAAAAATAATCCACAATCGAGAGACGTAGAGAATAATTCACAGCAACCAGGAAATAATAATTATCAACATCAACCAGATGGTGTGGATGTTAACGATATAGTTAAGTCACTAGGTTTAGAAGGATCCTCCGTTGTCGGTTCAAAATCTGTTGACATAAATGGTATACAAGAGTATCCTGTGCAAGGGTCTAATGGTAACTACATGCTCCAAATTCAACCAGGTCAAGGAGGTGGAGAACATGTCGCTCATGATCAAGTACTTTCTAATGGATTACTTCAAGATATTTTATCAGCCATAGAGAACCAACAGAAATCAGATAATTCATACGACAACCAACCACAAGGGTCAGAAGTACAACAAGTCGCCACATCAGCGGCCAATACTAGTACTGAGTGGCCAGAAAATTCTGCAAGTAAAAAACAAGAAATGGCTCTATTCTATAGCACTAGAGACGGAAAAGGACAATCTACGCGAGGCACAGAAACACTTCCGGATGAAATAAACCATTTGAGTGTAAACGAGGTGTCGAATGGAAACTTTGTTTCATACAAGTCGCCCAAAGTAAATTATGTATATAGTGACTCATCACCTCAATCTGTATCACAGGCATATCCACAACAATCGACTCCCAAGACTGATGAAAGCTCAACCAATTCGTTGTCGAGTACAGGAAAATAATTATTGTAATATAATAGATTTGTATATGTATACACATATATAATACATTATTAGATATTAATTTATATAAATAGATTAAAAGTAATCCTACTATTATAATTGCAGTTTCAACTCCTCAACCTTTGGTTGCATTCAAATTGACAACTGTAATAACACGTAAGAAAGTGCTCGTATTCATAAAAATCGTAATTTAACCGGAATACCGTATCGCAAAAAAGTATTGTACTTGTATTAGTTTAAACGTTCACGTACAAAAACGTTCTATAATAATTGTATAAATACTTTATTATCTTGACAGGATAATCGCTCTATTATTAATTTATATTGACGACGTAGTTACCAAGCACAGATTTATTCACGACTAGCTTATCACGAACTCGAAATAATAACATCGTGCCTTATTTTGTTTTAAATCGTGAACGACGAATATTTTAATCTAAAAAGTGAGAGTATACTTGTGAGTGTAAGGTACGACAGATATAAATGCGAATTGTAACACAATAAAAATAGTACAAAAAGCCATTTTGGATATGAAAATTGTTCACGAGATTACTTAGTGCTTTGAATGCAACTGGATGTGTGTTTTTGATAATAAATTGAATGAAATCGTTTTGATTATCAAAAAATTTGGAGTGATAAATTATTAATATACATTTATACTTAATTTTATTGAGTAAATATGTATTTATATATTATGTAATAACGTTTAGCACGATTGCCACTACGAAGTGCCATAGACCATTTATTATTGTTATCATTATTATTATAATAATATTCTTAATGTAAAAATACCATACATTTTCTTTAAATTAACAGCTATTATATTCTCGTTCTTGTATATCACTTGAAATATTCAAAATAATTTACTTTTTTATCATATATTTTAACTTAAAAATTATATTTTTAAATTTTATTTTTTACTTTAAGTATTCTAAGTTAATGCTTTGTATTTGTATAACAGTTTGTAATAATTGTTAGTGTATAATGTCTATTGAAATACTGTATATACAATTATGTATGAAAATGTAAACTATTTAATAACAATATATTTTGTGTTATTTATACCTATGTATAGAATTAAAATTATTGTTTATATATTAAATAATGTATACATATTTAAGCAATATAAAAACGTATAAACAAAAACAGAATCCTAAAATTGAATATATTTAATGATGAAATTATTTAATCAATTTTTTTTAAGATTTTAACAAGGATTTAAAAAAAAAAAATTCACAATTATTAATTGACAGTAATTTATTTATTAGTGAGATTGTATAGGTACATTAACACAGTACAATTTCGGTTATCAGGTAGGTGCATTCATATAATAAAACATATATTGTTAACATAGGTGCGTTTGATATGTCTTATGATAAGAGAGAATCTAGATATTATAACTATATATAGTTATTATTATATTAAGGTGTGTTCTAGAAACATTTAAATAATTTTAACTGCACCTTTTATTATTAATTGACTTATAATATAGAAACATTACTAGATTGAAAGACATAAATTACTGAGTTTTTGAAATGCTGTTTTATAATAGTTAAATTTTAACAAGTTTTTAGTAGGTATTTTAAGTTTCATTATAAATTAATAATTAAAACTATTAGAAAAAAGCCTAAAAAACATTAGAGAGAATACTTGTGGTCTATATATTTTGAAAGCTATTATTTATTAATTAAAATGTATGCATTATAATCATTTACTTTTAAATTTACTTAGTTTTTGATACATTTGTAAAATTAATATTATTTAATATTTATAATAATATATTATTTAAAGATATTTTATTCTAAGCATACAAATGTTTATTACATTGATACGATCATTAATTAACGAAATACTAACGAAAACATTTAACAAAATGTCAGTATATTATTAGAAATATACAAATACTGAAGAATGTTTGATAGTTACCATAATTTTCGTTTTTCGGAACAGCTCTAGGGTACTAATATCACGGAAAATTGTTGTCCTTGACTATTAATATTCGAGGATATAATATGACTATAGGGAGTAAAAGTAACTGAGAGTTATTATTCCTGGTTACAAATTGCCTTGCCTAATGTTCCCCTTAGTATAAATTATTTAGGCTAATTGTACTCTTGGGATATAAGGTGTATATTTAGTTCAGTAGGTATTATTGATTTGTTAATTTGATGTTTAACTAAATTAAAAAAAAAAAAAAAAACTAATCTCTTTTGTAAGAAATGTTAATTGTTTTGGAATGTGTGCTTAAAGTTTACATGGTATAAATATAATTCGTATACTAAGACAATAAATATTTTGAAACGATTATATTTGGCCATATTAAATTAACTTAGTATGTACATTTTAAGCTTATTGTTTTATACATTAAAATAGCTCAATAAATATGGATAAATATAAAATTCGTATTGTAATACTACTAAATTTGACAATGTTGTCTGTTCAATAGTTAGAAAGAGTTTCTTAAAATATGTTATAAAATTAAGCATCATATGTAGTTAAATAATTGAAAAAGTATATTGCTCATGTGAATAATAAATATTGAGCAAAGTAGAATAATAAATTTTATGATTTTACATACCTGTTATACATTGTGAAATATCATAAATATAATTAATTAGATAGCTCAAAAATTACACTCAAAATCTATTGTATTTAAAGGCTAATCTTTCAAATTATACATTTTTTTTAAATTTTATTTTAACTAAAAATATACAATTTGTATCTTTGGGAACAATAAAAATATCTGTGATATGATATTTTATACATGGAAATGCGAGGAAGAAGCTATCCAGTGAAAGTACTACCTATTTGTTTATTATTAATTGATTATTTTTTTTTTTTTTTTTTTTTTATACATTTTAATTCATTCATAAATTAAACATCGAAAATAATTTAACGATTTCCTATTGTATAGTAGTTCAACATAACAATAAAATATTTATGAAAAATAACAATTGGTTTGTGCCAGTATTTGTGCATAGATTGAATAATTTAGTGTATAAAATAGATAATATTTTATAATCATATAATAATTATTAATAGCTCATATTTATGAGACTAAATAAAAAATATAAAATAAATATAAATTTTATCTTAGCTATGATTAATGCTTTTATATATAAACAATGTATTATCGTTTCAGGATGATACATGATATTCACTTACCTATATGTATATATAAATATAAGGCTTGTTATAAATAAAGTTTACTCTGGTTAAGGTACTTGAATTATTTTATCCAATTCTAAGGTTTTGTAGTTCTATTAAGCTGTTCTTCGAGTGTTTCATGCATATTTTCTAAATCTCTTATCATCTATATTGATTATTGCTTATTGATGAATAACAAATTTTAAATATATTTTAATAAAAATAATAATAATTAAGAAATCGCATTGTCCCAAACGTAATAATATTATTTTCATTTTCATAAATATTAAAAATTAATGTTAAATAATTAAATTATCATCGTTCATTAAATATTTTATAATATATATTTAATATTATTTGATATTAATGAAAGATTTAAAATATGTATTTGAGTACACAAAACACATAGGTATACTATTGAGGTTAGTCAAACACAATATTTATTATTCTATTATTTGAATGATTATATTGTTAAATACTATAACTATATTTAGTTATAAGGTGTTATAAATTAAATATGATCAATATTTAAAGCACTTGCAATAAAATGTTCAGATAAAATACTTAACATTTTCATTATAAATAATTCAGCCACAGTGAAAAGTTCCATGAACTCTGCAATCATTCAGGAATTAAAAAAAGTGTGATATTATTATTATAAATGAGTAAACTAAAATATTTTTGTTTTTATTAATTAAATACTTCGCTAATACATAAACTTACATTTATTTAAATATATCTATACATATATAGTATATATTATATACCATCGATATAAATGTAAAAACTTTATTTAAACAAAAAGGGTGATAAAATCAGTCCTTTTTAGTTATACATATTTTAAATTAAATGTGTTTGATCAAGTTGTGTTTTAGTATTTGGCATTCCCATGCAGGACCTTTTATGTTTAAGGGTCAATATTGGTTTTAATAATATGAATTTTTTTTTCATTTGATACATAATGCTTGCTTTTATCATAAAAGAAGTTTTTGAAATTAGTGCTGCCTATAATTTGTGATAAAAAAATATAGTAGATAAAACCTAAAATAAGAAGGTATTTTCTTGATTAATAAATATCTAAAACAATTGTTCTTCCTTAAATTATTTCATTTGTTTTCGTCCGTTTTTTTTATAAAAAAAACTAATGGTGAATAAATTGTTTAATTTTTTTTTTTTTTTGATATGAGAAAACCGTATAATATTACGGTGTGGCAAATTACTAAAACACGTTGAATCATGTGTTCTTTCATAATTACTAAGTATGTATTATGTGAATGTTTGTAAAGTAACTTTTTACAGTACGAATAAATGAATACATAACTTGGGACGCGGAAAAAATCTGTTTAAGCCATTAATAAATCGCAATGTTTGCTGAAAATAACACGCGTATTAAGGTATATTGTGTAATTAAGTTTTTCTCATTTAATGATCATGCGAAGGAAAAAGTCCATTTCGGCGAGATAATGGATATGATAAAATAATATATATATTGTATTTTAGGAGTGTTAACAGTGTCGGGACACGAGACGAGACTATGCACTAATGTAGTGTATCTAATGTAGTGACATCTGTATAAAATAATGCAAAGTAGCTATTAAACATTTATTAATGTCGAGGTGCAATTTGTTGACATAGTTAATACGACTGCGTGTAAATTTAAAAAGAATGGTTTAGGATGAACAGTTAGATTGAAAAATTGTATTTATTCAATACCAATACTAGTTATTTGAATTTTAAGTGGTTAGTTATATTATAATTTCGGTTAGGAAAATGCTATTGAATCAGAGAAAGGGTACAGCATATTAGATTCTGTTATCGTGAAAAACGAATCTAGTTTTTTTTGTTTAGATTAGACACGTACAAATTAAGAACACATTATTTTTAATGTTTTAGATATTTATCACTATGTAAATTTTTAAATATCTTCGACAATCACATACTAGTATTAGTTTTTTAAAAGTTGTATCTTAGTAAATACTAGTGTAGACGGAGTAACGTGGGACGTTAGTGAAAGTCGAACGTTTATGTTAGTAAAAAAATAATTAAGTTTGCATGCTGTATAAAATTTGCCTATATAAAGCCCCTTTGAAATCTTTATTTTTACTATATCCTTTCGTATATCATTTTATCACGGACGATTAGTCGATACGTGAACTAATTCAATAAATCTAACTCGAATATTAGTGAATATTAGTTAGATACGAACAAATTATAATGTGCAATACATATTAAATAAACACAAGTATACTGTTTACACTTATATACTATTCTTTAAAAAAAAAAAAAAAAAAAATGATCATGGTTTTCGGCAAACATTACAATATTATCCGATACACCAGTCGTGTCGACTTGTCGTAGTGTGAATATAATATTAATGCTATCACAAGTACTTAATTATATAAACTGACATATTATAATCAACGAGTTTTGATGTTGTAATTATATAGTATAATATACCTTATTCATACATTATGCACATCAACAATAATATTGCAATATTATGTATACGCACAGTCGCACAGAACTTTGATATTGTATTACACGATAAGCGTGTGTCGTGTAACAATTAGTCTGCCATCATTCCCACCAAAATCCGGTAAATTAGACTCTATACGTCCGTTTATAATATTATAAATTAACTGACCTTTCCCGCTTTACACGACTGTTTGATTGGAAGTACGTGTCACGCAACACTAGTGGCAACCAAACGAAAACAAAGGAAATTTACTGAGT